CCTTGGGCATATCACCAAATATGAAACCAGCAACACAAATAAATCCCTTATGTTCCACAATATTAATAGTAGCATTGCTTATAATCATTAATATGTGGAAAGAGACTAAAAGCCCATCATTGGATGACTGGATCAAGAAGATGTGGCATATCCACACAATGGAGTATTATTCAGTCACAAGAAAGGAAGAAACTGCACACATTTTCAACAACATGGATAGAATTTGAGAGAATGAGGATAATAGAATGATAAAAATAAATATTGAATATTTATATAGCAGACAGCTCAATAACATAAAAACACTTTCTAAAACCAGTGGATAACAATAAATATTCTGAGGACCCTAAGGATGGGGTGTAGGGAAAGGGAGAAAGGAATATAGGGGGTGGTTGGGGGGCATAAATAAATGAGAGCCCTTCATCATAAGAAATTATTACACTAATTTCTATGTTTAAAAAGAGAGAGAGAGGTGGCCCTCCCTGGTGGCGCAGCGGGTTAAAGCACAGCACTGAGAAGCTGAGGCCACTTCCACATGAGTTCGATTCCCGCCTGCCGCCTGCCCCGGAGGAGACCACATGGCGAGCCAGACCTCTCCTGACCCGCCCGCTGCTCCACTCAGCAGTGTACTTCGTCGATCTGCCTGTTCTGCTCCCCACTCTGTCTCTGGTGAAGCCTCTCACCGCCCCTGAGCCTCTGGCCTGTACCCCAGTTCTGTATGCACAAATAAATAAATCTTTAAAAAAAAATAAAAAAGAGAGAGAGATAGAAGAAATGAAAAGTTTCCATAGATTCTCACTGCAGGTTGGAAATGGAAAATGGTATTTATGATAAAAGGGCTCTGAATATGGGATTCTTAGCTCACTTGGATTATCAATCATGTCTCAAGACAAAAATGAAGTAGGTGTAAGAACTTGGAGTTTATTTGCCTCCCATCAACATAAAAGCAGCTAGAACACACACATCAGAGGTCAACATATATGTGAGATACAGCTCAGGGTGACCCAAAGGAAGAGGCTGGCGGGGCAGAGGACAGGCCCTTAACCCGAAGCTTGGAAGGAGACAGACAGCAGCTATCTAGTGGTGAAAGAGGATTCTAAATCCATTCTTTGATCAAATGACACTATTTAATATTAACATTTCCATCTTATAATCAATCTGTAGTGAGAAAGCAGAGGTAACTACAGTATCAAACAGAATAGAATCTACTAAATCTTAATGTACAAACATTAAATATACCTTTATACTAATTGACACATGTAGAATACACACACACACGCACAATAGGTGTATATAAGTATGTCCTATGTAATATATACACACCATATATTTACTAAAAATAGATAACATCAAATATAGTTCTATAAAAGAACACATAAATTAAGAAAGTGGGATTTAGGTATATTATTTAAGATCGTAAACATTGCCCACCAAATAATCAGTATCAGAAACCATTCATTGTAGTTGACTGTGGATCTTGAGCAAAAGTCACGGAGAGAGTTGGGGGGAAGAAAGGAAGATATTTAATTTAATTTTATATATTTACACATTTGCTTTTTCCTCACATGCACATTTATTTACCTCAAATTTTAAAAATGACTAAAATAAATAATGAAACATATCTATAAAAGAATACTATGCAGCAATTAAACATATAGAGTAGATCAATTTATTATGACCTGGGAAGCTATCTATTATTAAATATTAAATCATAATATTTAAGTGTGTTCAATAAACATAAAACTGGTAAGATGTGTTCTCCATATCTCAGGAAAGCCTGTCTGCTGTCCCTTTCTGTTCTCTCTCCTACAGGTAACCAACTGCCTTTGGAAACCTTCTCTCGCTCAGATTTTTGTAAGATGTGTTTCTCCCAGTTTTGCAGAAGGAAGAGCAGTTACATGTGTTTTTCAAGTAGCACGTGCAAGTTCTCGGCTACAATTGATCCATCAAGATGGAGCTGGACAGAGGTGCTCAGTAGCCAAAAGCTGGACACACAGGCGCTTGGTGAGGCAGCAGGTGGGAAAGGAGAGGCCAAGAATCCAAGCATGGGGGCTGAAAGGCACCCCAGAGAACTCCTGGCCCACCTCCCCAAGTCACAGAAAAGAACATATGTGAGGACGGAGAAAAGGTCACACCACTCAATTCGTCTCCATAAACGAGAACAGGCCGATGAAAAGCCAGAGTCCAGAACAGTCCATTGAGAAGGTGCAGGCAGGGAGGGAGGCTCGATGTAAGACCCCACAGGAAATCCTATGGGGAGATGAGGGAAGATGGGTGAGGGGTGGAAGCCCATTGCAGGAACAGGTCAGGATGAAGTTGGCTTGACTTTGAAGGGAGACCTGGAAAACTCAGACCAGATCCTGCCTGCTTGGGGGATAGGAACATGCAGAGAGGGGAAAAGGAGAGGAGCTGAGATTGACCAGATGCTCCTACTGTGCAAGGGGCCTTCTAGTACTTGATCTATCCCATTTCACCTCACAGAAGCCCTACCTATGAGGGAAAAAGGCGTACCCCAGTGACAGAGAGATAATGAGGGGTAGAAAAGTTAAATGACTTTACTTGCCCTAAAACCTGAAGTTAGAACATGGCAGAGCTAGAAAAGGAGTCTGGGTTGGTCTGGTTCCCAAACCCCTGCTTTCCCTCCCTGGGACACATCTCCTCCACATGGAATCTGCTTTGCACCTACCCTAGGGCCATTCAGCCGTGGCTGGCTTTGGGAGCTAGAATTTACCTCTGCCCATCAGGACCCTGAAAATTCCCAGCTCAGAAGCTGTCAGCGTGGAGGCTCTTAGCCTCACATCTCTGAGTCCTGACTTCGCCCCTGAGGACAGGCCAGGGCTTGGGAAGAGGTGGGCTGGGTGGGAGAGCGGTCAGGAAGGCAGAGAGAAGCTGGAGGTCCGAGGTTCTTGGTCTAGGTGCTCAGCTCCACACAGGTCTCTGCCAACCTCAAGGGCACACTGATTGCTTCTGCTCCCCCTCAGATACTGTCTGACCTCCCCCCTGTCTTCTTGGGTACACCTCTGCCTCCACTGAGCTTCTGACTTCAGGGGGAGGCAGCAGGCCCAGGAGAGTATGTATGTCAGTTAGGGTTTGTCGTTGACACGTGGAGATCATTAACGAGGCTTATTTTTAAATTGTAATTGCAAAATGTAAATGCTCCCCAAACTGATGTGTAATTGCTACCCCTCCACCCCAGCCCTTCCCCTCTGGTGCCAGCTTTGCAAGGAGAGAATTAGAAAATAAAAAGGGGGTGGATTATGTAAGCAAAACGATTTTAAAAAAAGAGAGCGAGAGAGCTAAGAATTTAAGTGAGACAGCTGGCAGCTTCTCTGATTGCCACACTTCCAGCATTAGCTGCAAAAAATCGTCCTTGCCGATTTCACCCATCCAAGCAACAGTGTCAACTGCACCCAGTCCCCAGAATGGAGCAGACTGGCAGGCGCTTGGCAAGGCCAGGAGAGCCGGTGGGTGTGCGAATGTGGATGTGGGTAGGCGAGTGAGCTGTAGGGGAGTCAGGGTGATAGGTGAGGTGACCTCTCTCATTGATGGCAGCCTGCCATTGCACAGAAAGACACCACCCAGGCAGGAGCCAGTAAGCCACCCACTCATTTCCCTCCTTCTCCCCAGTCTACAGTGAAGGCAGGGCAGGGGGGACCCTATTCTTCCAGGCCTGGAAGGCCTGTGAGCCCCAGTGTCTACAGCTTCAGCCTGTAGAGAGATCGGACAGTACTGGGGAGTTCCACAGGTCAATCGTCGGTTCTGGAGAAACCACTGGACTGGGCTAACAACACCATCCCCCAAGTCTCTAACCTTTGTCCCTTCCTCCACTTTTTTATCAGCCACACACCTTCTTCAAGTCCTCATGGCCATGGTCTACAGTGAACTCCCTTCAACATCAACTGAGACACCAGCTCTGAAGTTTGTGGAAGATGTGAACAGCCTGTCCCCCAAGGTGGACGTGGTCCAGCCCACACCTGGGGAGGAGACTAGATGCCTCTGCACAGACCCTGGACGCCCACTTTCATCTCTAGACCTCTAGGGCTTAGAGGTCCCTTAACACAGAATTCTCCAAACAACAGCCAGAGGGCCTAGGCATCCGGACAAGCCCCACAGGCCAGATCGGCCACCCTAGATTTGTGGGCCTCTTGGGCTACCTGGTGGGGAGCCAGGCCAGACATTCATCTTTTCGGCTCACCCCCAGGACCAGAGCCATTCAGCAATAGTGGCTGCCTCCAGAATGAAGGCTGTTTCAACGGGAAGGCCATGGTGTCTCACAGACACCAGCGAATCCTACAAACTCCTGGGCAGGGTCCTTCGGAATTGGGGCCCAATCTTGCCATCAACAAATTCAACCCTTACCTGGTATACAGTAGAGGAAAAAAGTGTTTAGGATAACTGGATTTCCAAAACCAGCCTATACTATTTATGTCTGCAAGATCTTGAAGTCACTTAAGAGGATTAAAAAAAGAAAAACAACTCTCTGATAAGAAGATTAAATGAGCTTCTCTATTCAAAATGCTTTCTACACTCTAAAGAATTATTTCTCAGAGTTCATTAGTAGCACTGGGGATGCTGTCACCTCTGTGTTTACCAGAGGCAGTTAGGGTGTAGATTCCTGGTCTTACCCCAACTCCAGGAGTCAGATTTGTGGTGTGAAGTCCGGGAGCTGCGCTTCCTCCCCCACCCCTGGTGATGGGCTTGCCCCAGAGGGTTGAACAAATGCCATCAGCACCACAGTTGTAAGCAACAGCTCTTTGTCCTGCATCAGCTACACTTTACAACTCACAGACTGCTTAGCCCAGGGACCCAGACCTGGCGAGGGCATAGCTTCCCCGTGCTCGGGATGCTCAGGGGCACAGCCGTGCAAACATAATGCTTAGCCACGAGTATGCTAAGTGCCAGCCAGCCTCACCGGCTGGTTCTCCAGGCTTGCCGAAGGCCAGAAGGCCGTTGCCCATCTGCCTGGAGAGCTCGGCTATGTGTTAAAGGAGAAGGTTTCTTACTGTTTGGGTGATCTTGGCTGCCTCTGGGATGGTCGTCAGGGGACTCCCTCCCTCTTCTTACTTCCAGCTGGGCCAGAAATTCTTCCTGTCCGCTGGAGCCACAGCACCTGTGAACAGGCAGAGCAGCTCTCAGAAGGGACGCCTAGAGGGGTGACCAGGGATGCCAGGGGCACCCCACTCTGCTGCACCCTCCTCCAGGGTTGGCTGTAGGGAAAAGACATTTGCTCTCCAGACTTTGCTATCTTTTTACCACTCAAGTCTCTCTCTTCCGAGTGGCAGCTCGGGGCTACCTCGCCATGGAGAGCCTAAGCCTTGTCATAGCTGGACGTGTCCTGTTGTCACCTGTGTGATTTCCTGGCCTCCATTCCCAAGGACAGGCAGATGTCTCTGAGTGACATCTGGGTGTCAGGAAGGCCACTGCTGGCTTTTTTGGTTTTAACCTGTAGAGGACTTAGAGGGAAGGCAGCAGCTGGCAGCTTTTCAGGTATGCAGAGTTTCAGAGCATTTCCCTGTGGCTGGGGGTCTGGAGTGACCTGGAGGGTGCCTGCGGGCACCGAGGAGGGAGCGTCAGGGTAGTCATGGACCCAAAGCAGAACTTAGCAATGAAGGACAGTGGTGGCCTAAAGGGGTCTTGGCTGCCCCACTTTTTATTTTTAGATTTAAGTGAGTTCATTTGATCCCCAATATCCCAAAATGGACCAAGGTGGCCAGAAATTGAGCTTGGTTGTCAGCGCTGGGATAGGGTCTGGCCTGACACTTCCCAATCATATCCATTCCTCTGGTGCATGGAGTTGCTAATTTGAAGTTGATGCTTGGGATCGGGGGAGGAGGGGAAGTAAGGGCTGCCAGTCCAGGGCAGCAGGGCCAAGCACCCTCAGCTAAGAACCCCAGGCTTACCAAGGGTAAAATCATCTTTAACATTCACAGTTCCTTCCTAGTTAACACTATCTTAGTCTCCCTGTAAAAACACATTTGCACCTCAGTAAAGAATGTAATTAACTAGTGACATGACAACAGGAGGAACCCAAGCGGTGGCTGGGAGCTGCAGCTGGGGAAACGGAAATTTCGATCTTTGCCTGAACAAGACTTGACCGCCTTCTTTTCGGGTGTGTGTGCACATGGGTGTGTGTGGAGAGATAGAGCATGCACTACTGGGAGGTGAGGGTGGCAGAGATACAACATCCGGGTTCCTGTGGCTGCAGGAGACAGGACGCTGGGTGTGTTTGGAGGAGGAATGTACTGAGAGACCTCCAAGGGCAGGCAGGATGGTTAATGAACTTCCATTAACAAAAGCTCTCAGGGTTAAAATAAGCTCTGCTGGCCTACACCTCAGACTCCTCCAAGGAGAGGGATACGAGACAATGCAAAGCAGCAACTGGACGGGCTTGGGGACCCCCCCCCCCCAGGGAGCCACCAAGAGTAGAGCCAAGACATCAGGCCCCTCTGGGAGAGAGGGTGTCCCAAGCATCCGGGTGCTGCCTGCTCCTCCTTGCGGCCTGGGCTGTCAACGCTGCCAGTGCATCTCCATTCTCCAGTCTCCTAGGCAGGCGTCCTGGGAGGTGGTCCAAGTCCCCCTCTACTGGAGCCACACCTCATTGAGATCCCCATCATTCCACCACCCACACTTCCCATCCCTTTCCAACCCAGGCAGCAGGGTCTGCCCTCCTTTCCCAGGGCCAGTCTGGGGAGGCTCCTCATCCTTCAGCAAGTCCCTCTCCTCTACCATGAGGCCTCCTGCTGCCTCTAGGCTGCTCCCAGGCAGATGGCTTCACCACATCCCCCAGGGCCTCCTGCCTGCCAGGCACTGCCAACCCAGCAGTGGGTGCCCGGCTTCCCTGGCTGGGCTGATAGTTGGACTACCTCCTACTCCCGCCACCTTACTCAGGGAGGCACCCAGGTATGGTCCTGAGGCATCACACCGATTTCCTCAGACCCCAGCTGCCTTTTGAGACTCACCCTGCCCCCTCGGCTCCCTGCTTCCATCCAAACCCCACCACAGCCATCTCCAGGCCTGCCCCGCACCCTCCCACCGCTCCCAATGTCTCCCTGCTCCATTTCCCACCCGACAAGACCCTCCCCACTCTTCATTGTTCAGCTCAAGCATTCTGGCTTTTTCCTCTCTACCCAGAAGTAATTTTACCTCTGCTGTTTGTCATTCTCTGAAAGCTGTCACCAAGCTCAGTGCTGCTTCATGCCATGGTTACCTTCTGTGTCTGTCATCTCTATCCAAACGGCAACCTCCTCACGGGCAGAGACCCCGCTACGCCTGACGGCTGTATAACTTTTCAGCTTACAAACTACTTGCATAGGTTAATAGCTTCTTTCACTCTTAAACAACCTTTAGAGGTTGCTATTGTAATATAACTCCTTTTCATTTCCTTTACCAAGTAGCATGTGGTTATCGTACAAAAAGTAGGAGAATCTTTAAGTTAGTTGTAATCTTACATTATAAAGGTAACCAGTTAACAGAGTTGCTCTTTTTTGAAAAGCAGCATCACACCATACATACTGTTCTGTCACAAGTCCTTTATATTTAGTGTCATATAACACATTCCTTTGCATATGATAGGGAAATATATGTTCTAATCCTAGTGACTCTATGGCATCCTATTTATGGGTGTGCTATTTATATTTACTCTGTCAAAATTTTTGCCATTAGAAGTGAGTAATGCCCATTCTCACAGCTGAATTTTGCTTCAGACTTGATCATTATCTTAGGGTAAATTTCTAGATGTGGGTGGCTTAATCCACAGGTCTTTAAAAAATTTTTTTTTGGACCAACTTATCTTTGAACTTTGTGTTTTCATTTCTAAAATATGTTGTGCTTAGTTACTCACAGGACTTCAATCCTGGTGTGTTAGTGGTGGTGTCATTGACATATCACAGTGTGTCAGATTCGGGTGTAGATGAGCAGCTTGATACATGTATACACTGCGAGATGATCGCCCTATTGAGTCTAGATAGACTCCAGCGTGCTTATGGTCCATAAAATTTACACATCGCTTGCAGGAAGGTCACACCAACTTGCACCTCTATCACCTCGATATGAGAGATGCCTTTTTCCTAGTCAGGTGGTTGTTCCCACTTTGTAGATGTGAATAACGAGGCTAAGGAAAGTCAAGCATTGGACTAGAGAACAGCCAGAAGTGGCGTGTCTTCAGACCCCAAACATTTTGCTACTCCAGCCTCCCTACTTCTCCTTGTATTCCTCACCAAGCCCACGAGAGCACCAGCAGCAGTGAGTGCCAAGCCCTGAGCTCTGAGTTGTGGGTGGGCCATTCTTGGGGCTCTGCTGATGTCAGCCCCCTCAACCTCATTTCCGGGGTGTCTGAGGCCTACTTGACAAATGAGAGTTCTGTTCTTGGGCACTTTTTACTATTCCCTCCTCCCTTCTTCTGGGCAGGTGCAAACTGCTTCAATTTAGCCTCCAAGTATTAAGAACATACCATGTGGTGGGTCTCGGTCTGCAAAGATGAAACATGCACACTCCTTGTCTTTGAGCTGCTCCCAGTCTAGTGGATCAGGGAGTAATTAGACACGCTGTGCCTGCCGCTGCTCCTGCCTGTCTGCCCACCAGCCCTTCCGCTGTCGGAAGCCCACAGTCGGGGTGGGGGCAGGGTCCCGGTCAGGGTGGTGGTGGAGGAAGCCCTGTCTACTGGTGTGTCCTGTGTGCTTCTAGTTGGTTGTGTCCTTTCTGCATGGAGGGGCCAGCTCCCCCTGATGTCCTGCTGGTCTGTTTTCTGCTGTAGTGGTAAAGCTACCCCAGCTCCACTTCCCAGAGGCTCTGGAGAAGAATCAGCAGAGTCAGGAAAGGCAAGCCAATTCTGCTCCTCATCCAGAGACTAGGGATATGTGTCTGAGAGAAGCAGGAGGCCCCAAGGTGACCCCAGTGGGCCCTACGCCGGGTTTGGCTTCAGGGCCAGCGAATAAACAATCTCTCCCTTCCCAGAACTGACAAGTCTGGTTCCCAACTGCCCAGAGAAAGCTTCAAGGCAGAATCACTGCCTGTAATTTCCTTTCTGACACTGCCAGCTATTCCTCTGAGCAAAAGGAGGACAACTCACATGACAGGACTCTCTGAGGAGAAGGAGAGAGGAGAGTATCCCTGGTGGGCAGGGAGGATGACTCCCCCCACCATCCCTTTTGTCCTACCAGAGTCTTCTCTTCTAGAGGCTAATGTGTGGCCTGCAACACCACTCCCCTGATGCTGAGGCTGGGCTTGGGCCTAATTCCCAGGCAGCCTGGCAGGTAGGGAACAGCCAGCCAGCCACAGAGAGAGATGGATGGACAGGAAAACATGGGCTGTGTGAGGTTGATGACTCAGAGGTTTCAGGGGATGAAGAAGAGGGCAGGAACTTCATCTTGAAGGTAAAATTCTTTCTATCCCCTCAATATTCCCAAGAAAAAGAGTGGGCCTCACCCCCAGCTTTTTGCTCTACTCAGTTCCCTCCCTGCCTGTTCAACTTCAGCTTCACAAGGGACCCCAGGGTGGACCGGACAGAACCCCAGAGAGCTCCTTTGTGTATTTTGTCAACTTGCATTTACACTTTTTGCAAAACAAGAGGACAGTGACAAAGGCTGAGCAGTCTGGAATCTCTAGCCAGAAGCCCAAGCCAAAGGCCTGTTTCCTGTCAACCTTGGGGAAGTTATCATTGCACCCGAGTCTCTATCCCAGCAGTAAAAATCACCAAAGTCTTTGTCCCCACTGCCAGGATCCATTCTTGCATAAGTGCAGTGGTTGGAGGTGGGTTTGCTAACCAAAACGCTTAAGCATTTTCCAACAGTGAAGATCTGTGATGGTCTGTAGGCTTTCCCCACTTGCTGCTGGGGTAAGAAAGCTAAGGAAGGGCAAGAGCTAGTTCCAGCTTGGCCACAAGTTTGCTATGTGATGTTGGACCAAATGTAACAGCTACAGGTGTCATGGACTCCGCTCCCACTCCAGATACTGGAACTACTGATCCCATCAATACCAAGGAGCAGCACGCTGGGACGTGAAGGCAGAGCTGAGCACCCAGGTTAGGATACAACCGGACATGTGAGCTCTGGGGGTCTCTTGGCCTGGTGGTTGGCGGCTGGTCATTGGGCTTTCGATCGGTTTTCAGCATGC